GAAAAGTACCCAGACCTTATGTGAAAGAGACTCATTCACTAATTTTAAAGCACTGCTTTGTGAAAGAGTCCTGCTGGGATACTCTTGGGGAAAGGAGGTTGGTGGGTGCTATCTTTTCTATTCTTCTTCTTTTTCTCATTTTTAGGTGGTTACTGTCTCTGCACTCGATCCAGTCAGTAGGTGCCATCTTTGTGCTCTCCCACAGTAGTGCTCCAAAGTGACAGTATTTCCCAGACAAGATCTTCACACACACCTGGTGCCCCACACAAGCTAAAGGAGTTCATCACTACAAAACCAATCTTACAAGAAATGTTAGAGAGACTTCTTTAAGCTGAATAGAAAGGGCACTAAATAGTAACAAGAAAACATTTGAAAGTATAAACCTCACCGGGAAGGGTAAATACATAGTAAAGGAAGTTGATTAATTACTTATAATGTTGGTAAGAAAAACAAAAGACAAGAGTAGTAAAAAAAACTAAAATAACTAGTTGTGTATACAAGATAAATAGATATAGAATATTACAACCAATACATAAAATGTGACAGGGGAGAGTAAAAATATACAATTTTAGAATGCATTCAAACTTATATTATAAACCCAAAATATAAAGTTATAAATACAAGTTATTATATGTAAGCCACATGTAAATACAAAGCAAAAACCTAGAGTAGACACATACACAATAGATGATGGGAAAGAATCTAATGAAACCACATAGGAAGAGAGCAGAAGAAGACAGGAATGAAGGCATTACAAAACAGCCAGAAACAAAAAAAATGGAGATAAGTACAAATCTAGGAACAATTACTTTTAATGTTGACGGAGTAGGTCCTCTCATCAAAAGACAGAGAGGTTAAAGAAGGCAAGGCTGGGGTGGGTGGGGAGGGATTAACCAAAGAATTTACATAATATGCAGAATATGCATAATACGCGAATATGCATAATACGAGGACACAGACAGTGGTGTAGTGAAGGCCTGGGGGGTGGTGCCTGGTGGAAAGGGGGGAAAAAGGGAACATCTGTAATACTTTCAACAATAAAAACAGATTTTAAAAAAAAGGCCAATCTATATGCAGCCAACAAGTCTCACTTCAGATGTAAAGAATGACAAAATATATTTCACACAAATGAAACCAACAGAAAGCTGGGGTAGCTATAATTATATCAGACGAAATAAACTTTTTAAAACAAAGACTATAGCAAGAGGCAAAAAAGTTGCATAATGAAAAAGGAGTCAATCCAATAGGGGGTAAAGCATTTGTAAATATTTATGCACCTAACATAGGAGCACCTACATATAAAGTAAATGTTAAAAGACCACAGGGATTAAATAGACAAGAATACAAAAACAGTATGGGACTGTAATACCCTACTTACATCACTGGATAAATTAATCCAGACAGAAAATCAGCAAGGAAGCATCAGCCTGAAACGCCAGATCAGATAGACATAACAGATAGATGCAGAATGTTCCATCCAAAAGCAACAGAATACACATTCCTCTCAAGTGAAAATAGAACATTCTCTGGGACACATCATGTTAGGCCATAAAAACAGTCTTAAGGAATTTAAGAAGATTGAAATCACAGCAAGCATCTTTTTAATCACATGGTATGAAAGTAGAAGATGAAAACTGAAAAATTCACAAGTATGTTAAGATTAAACAACAAGCAAATGAACAAATGCTCCAAAAAATAAAAGGGAAATAAAAAATACCTTGAAAGAAATGAAAATATAAAATGTACAACTTTAGAATGCATTCAAATATAATTTGTATCAACAAAAAAACACTATTACAAATATAAGTTCTTTTATGAAAGCTTCACAATAACCAAAAAGTAAAAACCTATAGCAAATACACAAAAAATAAAGAGAAAGGAATATAAGCCCACCACTGTGGCAAATCATCAAATCATAAAGGAACAGAACAAGAAAAGAAGCAAGGAACAAAGGAACTGCAAAAATGCTATAAAACAATTAAATCAGCAAAACCCTGTACCTATCAATAACTACTTTAACCATAAATAGACTCAAGTCTGCAACCCTCTCCCACCCCCCCCCAAAAAAACACTCAGAATCGCTGAATGGATAAAAAAATAAAAAAAGATCCATCTATATGCTAACTACAAAAGTCTCACTTCAGATGCAAGTACACTCACAGTCTGAAAATGAGGGTATGAAAAAAAAAAAGATATTCCATGGAAATGGAAACCAAAAGAAAGCATGGGTTCTTATATTTATGTCAGACAAAATGGGCATTAAGAAAAGTATGTAATGAGAGACAAAGAAGATCAACATATAAAGGTGTTAATCCAACAAGAAACTATATAACATTTTTAAATATTTATCCAACCAACATAGGGACACCTAAATATAAAAGGCAAATATTAACAATCTTAAAGGGTGAAATAAGCAGAACTAAAACAATAGTAGGAGACTTTTAATAGCCCACTTTCATCAGTGGATATATCATCCAGACAGAAGATAAAGAAACACTGACCTTAAATAACATGTTATACCAGATGCAGTTAAGACATACAAAGAACATTCCACCCAAAAGAATCAAAATACACTTTCTTCTCAAGTGCACATGGAACATTCTCCAGGATACATCAAATGTTAAGGCCACAAAACAAGTTTTAAAACTTTAAGAAGTTAGATATCATGCCAAGCGTTTTTTTGAACCACAATGGTATGAAACCAGAAATCAATTATAAGAAGAAAAACAGAAAACTCACAAGTTTGCATAAATTAAACAACAATCTACTGTACAGCCAAGTGGTTAGAAAAATAACCAGAAGAAAAATTAAAAAGTATCTTGAGAAAAATAAAATAAAATGGGACTACATTAACCTAAAAAGCTTCTGCACAGCAAAGGAAACCATCAGCAAGATAAAAGGCAACCTACCAAATAGGAGAACATATTTGCAAATCATATATCTCTGTAAGGGGTTAATATCCAAAACATATAAAAAACTTACACAACTCAGTAGCAAAAAACAAATAAAAAAGCACAAAACCAAAACACTGATCTGATTTTAAAATGGATAGAAGTTCTGAATAAACTTTTTTTTTTCAAAGAAGGTATCCTTATAGACAACAAGTAAATGAAAAGGTGCCTAACATCACTAATCATCAGGGAAATGCAAATTGAAGCCACAGAAATATCACCTCAAAACTGTTAGAATGACTGTTATCAAAAAGGGAAGAAATAAGTGTTTGCAAGGATGTGGAGAAAAGGGAACCCATGTAAACCATTAATGGAGATATAAATTTATGCAAACGCTATGGTAAACAAGTAAGTAGCTTCTTCAGAAAATTAACAAATAGAACTACTACTGTCCATGTCCCTCCATGCTGTCTCAAAGGGTAAGAGATCCTTCTTTTTTACAGCTGCATAGTATTTCACTGTGTAAATGTATCACAGTTTTTTAATCCATTCATCTACTGATAGGCACTTGGGCTGTTTCCAGATCTTAGCTATTGTAAAAAACACTGCTATGAACACTGGGGAAAACGAAATAAGCCAGTCAGGGAAAGACAAGCATCATATGATCTCACTTATATGTGGAATCTAATGAACAAAATAGATCCAGAGACACTGAAGCATGCAACAGTCTGAAATATTTCAGAGGGAACGGGTGGGGGAGGGATTAACCAAAGAATTTATATGTATATATAGTCCATGGACAGACAATGGTGCAGGGAAGGCCTAGGAAGGGGGTGCGAGTGGGGTAGAGGGGGTCAATGGGGGGAAAAAGGGGGCTATCTGTAATACTTTCAACAATAAAGAAATTTTAAAAAATAATAGTAAAGTAAAATGTAAATAGAATAAATGCTCCAATCAAAAGACATAGGGTAGCTGAATGGATAAAATACTCATAAATATGCTTTCTACAATAGACCCATTTAAGGTCAAAAGATGGATACAGAGTGAAAGTAAAAAAAAATAGAAAAATATATTTTATGCAAATAGAAATTAAGAAGTGCTTGGGTATCAACACTTAAGTAAAAAAAACAGGCTTTAAAACAAAGGCTATAATAAGAGATAAAGAAGGATATTCATTCTCAAAACGGGATCACTTTAACAAGGGGACATAACCATTGTAAACATTTATGCACCCAATGTAGCAGCACCCGAATATGTAAAGAGATAATGATGGACATAAAAAGAAATACTGACCCATTAGAGATTTTACTTTTTTTTATTTTAACTGAATTTATTGGGGTGACTGGTTAAAAAAATTACATAGGTTTCAATTGTAAAAAATTAATTAAAAAATAAAAATACAACTACTAAATGATCTAGCAATTCCCCTTCTGGTATTTATCTGAAGGAAAGAGAAATACTAACTGGAAAAAATGATACTCATTGCATCATTATTTACAATAGCCAAGAAATGGAAACAATGTAGTGGTGTCCATTAATGAATGAATGGATAAGGAAAATGTGGTATATGTATATAATGAAATATTATTCAGCTAAAAAACAAGGAAATCTTGTGATTTGTTACAACATGAACAGACCTTGAGGGCATTATGCTTAGTAAAATTAGTCTGTCAGAGAAAGACAAATACTGTACAATCTCACTTAAATGTGGAATCTTAAAACACACACAACACACACACACCCAACAACTCATAGCTGCAGAAAACAGCTCATGGTTACCTGAGGTGGGGTGGAGTAAAACGTGTGAAGATGGTAAAAGGTACAAACTTCCAGTCATAAAATTAATAAATCCTGATGTGTAAAGTACAACATGGTTACTATAATAATATTGCATTGCATATGTGAAAGTTGCTAAGAGAACAGATCTTTTAAATTCTCAGCCCAAGACAAAAAAATTGTTACTATGTGTGGTGATGAAATATTAACTAGACTTAATATGATGATTGTTTCAAATATATACATATAATTATACTGAACACCTGAAACAAAACTAATGTAACATGTCAATTATATCTCAAATAAAAAATTAAAATACATAAAATAAAATACCTTTAGATTATATTTATGAGCTTTATCCAAAATAGTTGGTACCAAGTCATCAGTAGGTACTCCATTCTCATCATGTGTATCGGGTGGGTACCAAGATAAGGCTAATACACCTAACAGAAAAGACCAAAAAAAAAATTTTTTTTGAACACAGAAACAGGAATGACTGCAGGTATTCTTTAAAAAAAAAAAAAAAAAAAAAGG